GACGAACATTTAACATAGAACCGACAGAAGTCGGTGGATAGAAAAGTTCTTGATCAACTTAAAATGACTGAAAAGCAAAAGAAGCAGAAAATAAACAGGCTTTACTGTACAAAAAATAGAAAATGTTCTGGTTAAAAAAAAAAAAAAAACTGTTAAGTGTGGCTGTCCGTGTAAGCCACCACTGGGGACCCCTGCAAGCCACATTGGGGTGCTTGAGACCAAGCTGCTTCTGATGTAGCTTTCTGCCAATGCTTCTCAGGAGCAACGGGAGATGGCCCAAAGTGCTTGAGTCCCTGCTGCCGTGTAGGGGTGCTGGGTGGAGCTCCTGGGTCCAGGCTTTGGTGTGGCCAGCTCTGGCTGCTGTGGGAGTTTGGGGGGATGAACCAGTGGGTGGGAGATGGCTTTCCATCTTGATCACTCTGACTTTCAATTAAGTCGATAGACCTTTACAAAAAGTTTTTACCTTCAAATAACCTGTAGCCAGAATGTCAGAAAAATGATGGCATTGCTTTCCTGGCGAGTACAGAAAAGCACGGACTTTCCAGACTTCACAACTGATATGTGAGCGAAAGATGCAGGCTGTTGCCAGAAGGTTTGACGAGAGATAAAAGTTTTGGTTACGAAATTGAACAAGCAGCTGGCAAGACTTGGGGGAAATGGTCACTGAAGATCTAGATTAGCATCCAACTGACATCACAACTGGGTGATTCTAAGAACCAAAGTAAGCTACGCAAAAGAAGGAAAACCTATGTCCAGAAATATGTTCACTTTGGCAGTTTTTTTCCCCTCAAAGCAAAAAGTACAAACAGCAGTAAGTGTTTAATTTCCCTACGGTGAATCAACCCAATGGAAAATGTTTCTCTGTCATGTTTATGCTGACGAGGCTGTGCAAAACCCACAAACTATAGACTTATGCATTCAGAATGATTTCAGCTATGATTAAAAAGAAAATCCCACGCATAAGGGAAAAAAACCTAGAAAAAAATCTCTTTATGTCAAAGAGTTGTTGCATTCTAGCTTTCAGAATCTGTCTCCTTGTTTGTTTTGGGGGTATTTTTCTAATTACTTACCATTATTATATAAGCAACTTCAGTTTCTTAAATAAATGCTGTGGGGCGGGGAGGAGAATGGTAAACATAGCTTTTGATGTTCTCTTATCCAGAGAGACTCCAAAAACGAATGGAAATGGAATTGAGAGATGAGTTTATTTTTGTGCAGAAATATATATACATGAAACTGGCGCATCTTCCAAAAATTCATGGAAATCCCATTTATGCAAAAACAGCATGGCTGGCAGTCCTGGGTGGTGCCTGGGGGAGACAGCACATCCCCCAGCAAATGAGAGTGCAGGAAGAAGCCCCGACCCAGCATTTAAAAAAAGAAGCAGAAAAAATTGAAAACCAAAAAGTTTCACCTGTACCCAGGTCAGCCATTACATGAGAACTGTGCAGACCACAAGGCTTAAAGAACAACATGAGAGAGACTCAACATGCCGCACTGACGAAGGACGGTGAGGAAGGTGACAAAGCTAATAGCAGAGGGCTCCGCTCCAATCACCCCCAAGTTTGCTGCAAATGTAGAAGTTGAAACTTAAAATATGGGCCCAGCATAATGGTGCAGCAGCTAAATCCTTGCCTTGCATGTGCTGGAATCCCATATAGGTGCTGGTTCATGTCCCAGCAGCTCCACTTCCCATCCAGCTCCCTGCCTGTGGCCTGGGAAAGCAGTATAGGACAACCCAAAGCCTTGAGACCCTGCACCCATGTGGGAGACCTGGAAGAGGCTCCTGGCTCTTGGCTTAGGATCAGCTCAGCTCTGGACATTGCGGCTGCATGAGGAGTGAACCAACAGATGAAAGATCTTTCTCCCTGTATCTCCTTCTCTCTGTAAATCTGCCTTTCCAGCAAAAATACATCTTAAAAAAAAAAACAAAACTTAAAATATTTTCAAGTTGGATATTTGGTTAAATTTTCCTATTTTAAAAAGGCATAAAAAAGACAATTTACAATAGAAACTGAAAGTGAAAAATCGTGATGTCTCAAGATAGCAAAGAGAGGACCAAGGTTGCGGAGGTTTACACAAATATTCTAAGCAATTAAATATCGATCTTCCCCATCTAGAGGAGCGTGCATTAAAGCAAGCAAAAACCCCCTTCCTCTTGCCCATCAGAAACACAGAAAATGAAAAGGCATAAACGGAATTAAGATGTCAGGATTAACTATGCCCAAAGATATTGAAGAAGAGGCTAGAACATGAACTTTCTAAGTAAAAAAAAAAAATTGACAGAGTAATATAGAAGAGCTGCAATGGCAAAAGTAGCAATCAAGAACAAAAACCTGAAGCACTCAATTTATGTGCCAATGTGAAAGGCAAAGAACATCGTAATAGGAACCTTCCAGAAACGTAAGAAGAGATGGGCGGAGATTGGAAGCATGATTGTTCACTTAGAAACCCCGGCCTTCTAAAATATCCTAGAAGATGACAGAGGAATGAAGGTTCCGGGCAGGCAGCACCCCAAATGGGGAGACTCATGGAGAAGATAGATCCACAGAGGCCAGAGCTGGTCTGGCCCGGACAGCTGGTCATCCGAGCCCACACAGGTGTTCAGAAGCCAGGGCTGCGCCACTGACCACAGAGAACACAGCCGGGGCTCAGGCCTGCTGTGCGGCCCGTAGCCTCCTAGTCCCCGGACGCCTGTCATTGACATTTCTGTGCAGTCCCGCGCATGGCCTCCTAGCAACACAGTTAGCAGTAGCTGGGTTAGGACAAATGTTAGCATACAGCATACAGATTGACCTCAGCCGTGGCTCTCATCAATGGAAGGCTGGGGTAACACGGCAGGGGACAGGTCAGAAAAGCTTAGAAAACCTGGGACAGAAACAGGGGGACCCCTGCTAGACTGTGATCCCCTCCCCTGGGAGAGGTGGCCACAGAAGGACAACTCCTGGCACCCGCCCATGCCCAGGCCTATTCCATGGGTGACATCACAAGGCCATTAAAGCAGAGGTACATCTATCCTTGGACCAGAATGTCAAAAAGCAAAGAAAGCAGCCTCGTTGGGGAGCTGTGTCAGAGCCACGCAAGCCAAAGCAGGAGACGTCTTATCTGGGATGCTGCAGAGGTAACACACTGTCTTCCCGGAGGGGGTTTTGTTTGCATGCTCTGGACTCTGAAATGAAAGCTGCTTTCAGTGTATTACTGTGCTCTTGTGATTAACCAAGAGGGAAGTCTTGCGTGCGTGTGAAGGGCCTGACCTGGGAACCCTGGGCCTCTGCTCTCCCTCCTGCAGCTCTCTCTAATGCACAGGGTTGGGCTTCTGTTCTCCTGGGCACCTGCACCCCGAGCAGAGCTGCGTGTGGCTCAGCACTAAACCAGCCTTCCTTCCGTCGTGGCCTGGATTTCCCAGCCAACGCAGCCTACCGGAAGAGCATGGCATTGCAGAGGTTTGCGGGCTAAGCCAGCCCTCCTCTGCCCGGAGCACGGGTGCCTGAGCCTCCCCGTGGGTGATAAGATCAGGCACTGAGGGAGCAGGACAGTCCATCCAGGGCCCCTGCCTGACACCCCAGCCCCAGGGCCCAGGTGAGCGACGTGTACACCCAACACCACATGGCCTTCAAGCATCAGTGAGAAGCAGCGAGACCCAGCAGGGACAGATCCCTCAGAGGATGCCAGGAATTTGCCAGAACTTGGTGGGGTGGCCGTAGAGCTTGGAGAGTGGAGACAACAGCCCTGCAATTCTAGTCATGATGGGCTGCATGCTCCATGGAGGGGAGGTGTCATCAATGTGCCCATTTCACAGGTAAGAACAATGAGGCACAGAGACTTGAGTCTCCCCCACAGTCAAGCACACAGGGAGGGATTTAGCTAGAATGCAGGTCTGAGTATCTCCTTCATGGCCTCCCACCCCAGCCCCCACCAGCAAGATCACCTGCATAATGCAGCCCCCTCCTCACTCCTCAAGGGGCCTTGCCCCACCCAATCCACTCTCCTTACCCCTAAGTTCTCCTCTCCTGCTAAATCCACCCTCTTTCTCTAATCTGCCCAAGGGGCAGAGTGCAGGCCATCCTGAGCCATCTGTGTCCGACCAGAGAAGGGTCCCTGTGGTCCAGAGCGACCCCAAGACAAGGACAAGACCTTCTTGATGCTGTTCCACCGAGCCTCCCAGGCCACCGGTCCCTGGCAAGGTTTTGCTGGATGAAGGGGGATGAATAAATGAAGGAGTGAATGACACTATCTGTTACTCTACAGAATCTACCCTCTTCCCCCAGGGGCCAGGACACGGAGCAGAGGCAGAGAGAGAAGCCGCCAGTGGGCACCCCACTCCTGTCTCAGGAACCTTCTCCCTCTCAGAACAACCTAGAAGATTCTGGCTCATCCTTCTCAGCCTTACTGAAAGACACTAGCCTGGGGTGGCCGGAGGACCACCTGGTTAGGAAGTGACATGCCATCAGAGATTTCTATGCTTACAAGGGGACAGCAACTCTGTCATCAAGAGCCCGGACAGGAAGAGACCCAGAGGGTAAACTGAGGCAAGGAAAACGTCACAGCCGGTAGGTGGCTCCCATGTCCACCCCTGGCTGTCACCCACTGCCACCTTGCTCAGGACCACTGGGCCGATTTCCAAGAGAGCGTCCTGGCTGACGTGTTGGCTGGTAGCTTGGTAGAGGGTAGGGGCACAGGGACCCTGCTCACTATAGCGGGGAAGGATCCCCCACCCCTAGACATTATGCTGCAACCCTGACTCAAAACAGGAGGAAGTTGGGGGTTTGGAGAGAAATGTCACCAGTGTCTGGTGTCAGGTCTGCCTGCTGCCACTACTGCTGTCAAGACTGCCCCCCCCCGCCCCGCCCCTGTCCACGGAGAAGTCCCAACAAGTGTGGGCGGGACCCAGGTCAGCAAGAGCTGTTCTCACGCACCTCAGGAAAAGCATACCCTAGGAGATCGGGGTCAGGCAGGGGGCTCCGTGCCTCAGTTTCCCCACTCGGCCCAGAGGCTGTTACCTGCCGGTGGTGCTGTGCAGCTGAGCGCGCCGCGGGGAGCTGTCACGTCTCCTCCCACACAGGCCAGCTGCTGGCTCCAGGGAGCTGCACTTCCCCTCTCCGGAGCTCAACTTCCTTGCTGGTAAAGTGACGCGGTTCGACCAGGTGCTCTTAAGCGGTCGCAGCGGCAGGCAGGCGGGCGGAGGGAGCTCTTCCGCCTCGGGTCTAGAGCTGGCTTGATGGGGGGCCCTCCCCACCAAGTGGCAGGGGGAGCAAATTTCCCGGAAGGGGGCTGCTCGCTCAGCCAGCTTGCAGACACAAAACTCTAAAGAGTTTCTGGGTCATCAGGCCTAGAAGCTTCTGGAAGCCTCTGGAAGCTTCTGATGCTGGCCTGCCGCTCTGAAGGCCACGCAGCATGCTAAGAAACCGTCAGGGCCTCCGAACTCCTGGGGCTCAGGAGTGGGCACTGCTGCTGCTCACACCAGGAGGGCAGTACCCGACTCCTACCCCTTTCCGTGCCATGGAGTCCCCGTGCCCACATGCATGTTGGTGGGGACAGACAGTGGGGCTGGGCCCATGCACCGCCCTGGGTCCCCCTTCAGCAATCTGAGGCAGCCCTGGGCCTTGCGGACCCCCTAGCCCCATGTGATCTTCCTGGGGTCTCTCAGCATCCCTGGGGCTGGCCCTACCGAGCCTCACCCTCCTTGCATGGCCTTCAGCTGGGAGAATTGGCATGGACACCAGCTGGTGGGTGGCCTCCCCAGCCCCGGGAGCAGCTGGAGACTGGAGCACAGGACGAGGCCCGGGTTATTTTCATGAAGCACGTGTGCTGTGGCTTTCAGGTGCCTATGGAAATAGAAACTCCTTGAGGTGACTCTGGGTGACTGGTGGGGAACAATTTGTGGCCGTAGGGAAGCTGCCTGGTCACTGTTTCCCATGCTTATGGTTCTGACATATACACATGATTCCCATATGTATACATGGTTCTTATGTGGATACATGTTTCCATGTGGCTGTATATGGTTACCATGGTTCCCACATGCAAATGGATATGGTTTCCATGTGAATATGTGATTCCTGTTTGCATTCATGCGGTTTTCACGTGAACACACATGGTCCAAGAGGAATATTACTAGTGACCTTCTTCAAAGAAGGCAGAGGCTCCTGGTCGCTGCCTCCTCTGGCCTCAGTACAGAGTCCCTGCCAGGGCCTGGTTCCAGCATCCAGACTAGCATGGGGCCCTTGGCCTGGAGGGGAGGTGGACTTGGTACTGCCTAAAAGACTGAGTGTTCCGAGCTTCAGCCTCGCACCATAGACGTGCTGGACAGATGAGACACGCCTGAACTCCAAGCTCAGAGCAGTGGGGGGTAAGCAGCAGGCTCTGGGTCTAGGGAATTGCCCCTTCTCAGAAGCTTGCCCCAAACTTCCCAGAACTGGCTACCCTTTCACCTGCCAAGAGCAGATCAGAAGCCCCAAGAGTCAGGGAGGGTTAGCTGCCCTGCAGACAGAAGCCCAAAGCGAGCAGTGACCCTGGTTCCTACCGCCCACGCCTCGGTAAACCGGGCGGCTCCCTCAACCCCTCCACCCACGCCTCCCTTAGAGCTGCTCCGCCAGCCCCAGGCTCCCACCAATTCCTCTCCTGTGGCTGGCTGCCTTGGGTCGAGGCCTGCCCGTGCCCTCTGCAGGCCAGCCAGGGGCACCAAGGGTTACCAGGGGACCTTGGCTTGCCCAGGGCAGGGATAAAGCTGAGGAATGAAGCCGGGGTGGGGGGCGGGAGATGCTACAGGCAGGGACTCTGAGTCTTGGAGAGGGGGCCAGCTGTGGTCTTCGGGTGCAACGAAGCAGCCAAGAGCTGGGCTGGAAGCTGCAAGCAGGGGCCATTCGGGGACCCCAGAAGCAAGTGCCTGTAACAGCAATGGTGTGCCCAAGACTGCCCCATAAGAGAAAGGGCTGACATCCTCCAAGAACCACTCTGGGGAACAGGCCCCCTTGGGGTATAGTCAAGTTGGGGGTCACATGAAGAACTTGGGACAGAATGAAAGTGTCAGGGCCCCAAGAACAGTCTGTACCAGCCTGATTTTTTTAAAAGCTCAGTGGCCCTTGCATGGCCACCCCAAGACCTGACTCCTCTGAGCCCATTTTTCTCTTGTGTCTATTGGAGCCACACAAGTGCTTGCTGACCAGGTGTTACAGAGCAGGTGGAGGTGGTCAATGGGCTTGACACAGGTGTGAGAAGCCAAGAGGCCCTGGTGGGTGCCCAGCCTGTGTCTGGTCTCCAAGGGTGTCTTTAGGACCCTCCTACACACACACACTGGCTTTATGCCTGCCTTGCATGCACGATGGGAGCTTTCTTGCCAAAGGGGGCAAAAGCCCTAAAACAAGAAGAGGCCTTGACACATGGGGTTGCCAAGGGGAACGGAGAAAGCCTGCCCCTGCATCCTGCCCCTGCATCCTGCCATTCCCTTTGTCCTGATTGCTCCCTGGCTCCTGGGTATACGGGGGCTCCCTCTCCACAGTCCCTGGGAAACTGGGCAGCAGCCAGGCACAGAGCTACAGTAGGGAAGGGGAATGACCCCGGCTTGCCAAGATCTGGAAACACTTCCTCTATTGAAGAGGAAGCCGGGATAAGTGCAGTGGTCCAACAGGTTAGTCCTCCGCCTTGCAGTGCCGGCATCCCATATGGGTGCTAGCTTGTATCCTGGCTGCTCCACTTCCCATCCAGCTCCCTGTTTATAGACTGGGAAAGCAGTGGAGGATGGTCCAAGTCCCTGGGATCCTGGACCCCGAGGGAGACCTGGAGGAAGCTCCTGGCTTTGTGTTGGCTTACCTGTAAAATTTGGGGGTGAACCAGTGAATGAAAGATTTTTCTGTTTCTCTGCAAATCTGTCTTTCAAATAAAAAGTAAATCTTTAAAAAAATTTTTTTTTAAAAAAAAGAGGAAGGCAGAAGGAGGAGGAGGAAGAGGAAGGAGTAGAACCACAGACCGCCTCTCCTGCCTCAGGGTTGCTGAGTGAGACTGCCCCACACCCTGCACCCCCACCCTGGCTTCCCCCTCTGGTCTCCTGTGTCTTAGCCCCCAGCTCCACTGTCTCTGCCCCTGAAATGCTCCTCCTCCTAGGGCTGCAAACTCCCCACCTTCCACTGCTGGGTCCCCTGAGCTTGGTGGGTCCTCACCCCCGGCTGCTGAGCCAGTGGGAGCCACTCCAACAGGGTAAAGGGGGACATGCACGCTGGTGGCCTTATGGTAGGCTGGGGGGAGGAGGACAGGGGTGTGCACCAGCTCCTGGAGCTAAATCAGCCCCACCCGGACTCTGATTCCCACAGCGAGGCTCCGCATTCCCAAGGGCCCTGCTCCAGCTCCCTGCAGATGCCAGAGAACACCTTGGGGACCAGACGTGAAGGCCAGGCTCCCTGTGCTGCAAGCAGCTTCTGCTCAGAGTCCCTGCCTGTAGCATCTCCCGCCCCCCACCCCCGGCTTCATTCCTCAGCTTTATCTCTGCCCTGGGCAAGCCAAGGTCCCCTGGTAACCCTTGGTGCCCCTGGCTGGCCTGCAGAGGGCACGGGCAGGCCTCGACCCAAGGCAGCCAGCCACAGGAGAGGAATTCTACCTCTGCCCCCTCAGCTGCTCCATCACTGCTGTGGGTGGTCCCACGGCCCCTCCCAGCTGCTCCATCACTGCTGTGGGTGGTCCCACGGCCCCTCCCAGCTGCTCCATCACTGCTGTGGGTGGTCCCATGGCCCCTCCCAGCTGCTCCATCACTGCTGTGGGTGGTCCCACGGCCCCTCCCAGCTGCTCCATCACTTGTCACTGTCCCTAGGGCAAAGTCATGCTAAGAGACATCAAGAGAAACTTCGTTCCTTCTCTCATTGGTGCTGGAGGGAGTAAATTCCCACCAGGATGAAATGGGTGCAATTTTCTGAGAAAACCAGAATCCGTAGCTGACCTGTGGCCCTGGACCTGCCTCTCACCATGGCCCCACAATTCTGCCTCCCATCCCATTCTTAACCCTTCATCTCGGGGTCTCCTATGACAAAGTGTACCCTTTTTAGCCCAAGCACTGCCTCTGACAAAGTCCACCAGGGCCACAGTTTTCACATCTCTACAGTGGGCACAGGGGTGCTACAGGCAGGACTTCTGTCTCTCTCCTCTTGTGAGGTCACGGGGACAAATCCTAAAGCAACAGGGGCGGAAGACACTCAAGGCTCAGAGCCCCAGGGTCTCACTCTCTTTGGTAGGTGGGACAACGAGGAAGAGGCAGCAGATCTGCTGTTTCCCCTACTGCCCCAGTGCCTCTGCCCATCCCCGCCCCGCCCCTTTCTCTGCTCTGAGCAACCACAAAGCCAGCCTCCTCCCCAGTCCCGATGGTCCCTCCCTCCCTGCCACTTCAGTCTGATTCCCTCCACTCTCTCTGCTTCATCTTTGCCCTTGCTCTAGCTCCTGCTGCTTCTCTGGCCTCCAGCCTTTGGGCAGATAGGGCAGCTGAGAGGAGGTGTGGAGCCTCTGCCATCCGCTTGCCCAGAGGACAGCAGGTAGGGTTGCCTGAGGGTCTTGGGGAGTCCAGGAAGTCCCCCTTCCCGCAGTGAGCCCTCAGCCCCCCGGATCTGTTCATATTCAAACTGTTCATATTCAAAGAGATGAGCACAACCTCCTGTTGTCCCCCGCCCCAACAGGGTCCCCAGAGCTGCCCAGGGAAGCCCTGTCTGAGCTCAGAGCTCAGGTCCTCTTTCCTTGCAGGCCCCGCCCTCTCCTGGGCCAGCCCTGCCCTCTCCTGGGCAGATCCCACCCTCCCCCAGCAGGCCCCACCCTCTGTCCCAGTGCCTGTGCTGTCTGGGAGAAAGACTGAGCACTCCCTGCAGGGCCCAGAGTTAATGGCATGGGAAGCCCCATGGCAGGGCTTGGGGCTGGGGCTTCAGGAAGCAGTATTTCCAGACCCTCCCAACAGGGGCTCAGCCTCTAACATTCCTGAGAGTTCCGGCTGTGTCTGTAGCACCTCCACCAGCCCCACTTTGCTGCCTAGCACCTGCCACTGCCTTCCGGCCCTGGAGCTAACAGACCAATGCCCCAGCCACCCTGCTGGGCACATGAGAGCCTGTCC